TCCGACCCACTTTTTTTCCCAGACGCTCAACGGGAACAAGACTAAGACCAGCTCTGGCCCTCTTTCCTTGCCAAAATGAAACTGATACGTTTTGAAGCTACTTCGACGTCCTTGTTATAACCACTTCAATACTTTTCAGCTGACCCGATGAATCGGTCCTCCTACGGCCACCAGACTATTGTTCAACCCGACCAATCTGGCAACGAATGCCACCCCTAACTAATACAGTAGTTTTATTGAGCCAAGGCAATAGACCCAGCCGCATATTAAGCCCAAATCAGCTTGGGACGGAATTTTACATAGCATCCGCCGGCTAATAAGCCCAGTCGCCGGCTACAAAGCCCAGTTTGCCAACATGAGCTAATAAGCCCAGTCGCCGGCTACAAAGCCCAGTTTGCCAACAGTATAGAGACAGATTCTCATCTCTCTGCATGCGCAACTGGTTACAGTATGTATGTAATGTATAGTGCTTATCCTGCGTTTGCTGATCAAGAAGTAGGACTATCCGGTTAGTGCGCCCGCGGCTTATTAAGCCCAATTTGATCTGGACCCGAGGTGGGCTTAGTAACCGGCGACTGCTGTACAACGAATAGAGTCGGAAGTTAGGTTGTTGTGTGCTATAGTCGCCTATTACACACTAACCTATCCCTTGTTAGCTAAGTGGAGACGAATATTTCGTCCTTGCCGATTTCTGTTAAGCGTTCTACATGTTGTTCTCCAGGTGCGCTACCACGGACGTGGGTAATGTGTTTACAGATGAACTGTGACTTTTACTCTTACATAACACATAGCAGAGTCAGACGCTTCTGAGTCTTCTGATCACGTATTTAGTTGACCGAAGAACTACTTTTGGCAGCGTACTTAGTAAATCGTGTTATAAAGGCAGTCACTTCAAACCTGCAAGCAAGCACTAAGTATTTGCTCGGGATTAGCCCTGTAGCATCATCGAGACTACTGGATAGTCAGTCTAACTAACATTTCTCTGAAAATTGCTTTATTCTCTTAGTGCAAGACAAATGAATTGCGTTAGCGATCGGCTAACGTTCATCACGGAGTGTCAATATCTCCTGATCTACAGCTGCAAGACCACGGGCTCGTGGCTCATTGGTATTATACTTCTGATCGCGGGTTCGAGCCTCGTGTGGTGCAGCACTTGGGATTGGCTAATGAGCCAGAAGGGTTATTTCAGTCTCTTGAGTCTTTGCCGGCGATGCTGTCTGCCTATATTGCTTTATAGTTTAAGACAGACAGTATTAGGAAGCACTCCTGAGAAATTGTGACTTTTTCAAAAGTTGAGGTTCGGCTTTCGGCTGGTGATCCATGTGCATGTTTTTAGTCAGGCCTTTGTTTCACAGACAGCAGAGGCATCTGTTAGAGAGGCATTGGAAATGTGCTACCAGGTACCGCAAAGGGCACCTAACTTAAGTTAGCCATGTATTGAGATTATTTTGTTCTTTGCTCTAATGGCCATTGCAAAAACGTACACATGTGCCTTTTTTTTCACGGACTCCCTCTGTACGTAGGTATCAGCATGTCCATGACAGTGACCAGTCGGCAGTTGCCTTTAACTGTGTAACATGGGTGTCCGAGCCTTGTCAGGCATGCTCATGTGCTACATTAAAATGCCAGCTGATAGGCGTCGAAACCGTGAACTGGCGGATTGAGA